TTTTTTTTTTTTTTTTTTTGCAAGCACTTTATCGAAGAGGAACGGACGAGAAGGAGTGCACGCGCGCGCGAACGGATACCGGATAAGAATTATAAATTTCGTGTCTGCGCTTCGTAAATGCTCGAGCGTATACGCGTGTGTGTACACCTTTCCAGCACACATGTACATGCCGACTTCAGCACGGGCGCGATATCGCCTAATAAAGTGACACCTCGCTAATTTTACGCTGCCCAAGGGCATAAAATTTGCTGCGGTGTATATTTTTTTTTTGTTTTTTTTTTGTTTTTTTGCTCTTCGTTCTGCCTTTTTCCTTACACTATAATATGTGTGTGGCTCCCATCCTCCCCGAAGCTTTTGGGAACCCGTTGCGAATGTTTATGTGGAATTTTAGTAACTCGATATACACGCACGCCGCTGGAGAATTCCAGATGCACGCTGCAACGGACAAGGGACTCTAAAAACCACTGAACTTGATTATATTAAGCAATAAAGTTGTACTCGGTGTTCGTATTTTGTCATTTTTATCGACTTCCCTGACAAAAGGGACAGCCGAGAGTTTTTTTGGAGAATTCTCGACAAAGTCAATTCGTTTGTTGGTTTTCGTCCACTGTTTTTTATTGGAAAACAAATTTTGATTGGATCAAATATCGACCACAAGAATGAATAGGAAAAATAGTGAGATATTATCCAGTCGAGGTGTGGAATAGGGTTTGAATATCAAATAATGTTGGTAAATTAAAATTTTCTAATTGTCAAAGATTGGTAAACATTTTCAAGGGGTCAAACGTGCTGGAAGTGTAAAATAAGATGCGTTACAGGAAAAAACATTTGTTCGAATGGATGAAAAATCATAAGTAGATAATAAGGAAAATTTAAAAAGTGAGATTGGAAAAATTGGACCGAAAGAATAGTAAAAGTGTAGCTTGAATAAAATTTATCCAAGGGGAAGATGGCAGGATGTAGTGGGACTACAAAAATGGTAAAAAGGCAAAACGCAAAAGAAAAAGGACTACTAGATGAAAATGATGGAGACATGGTTCTACAAGAGGAATTTCAGTTAAATTGGGAAAAAAAGTAGAAATGTGAAAATAAAAAATTGAATGTACTGAAAAAATTTTCAACACACAATAAAAAAAAAGAAACAAATGGGTACAAGGAAAGTAATTATTGTACGAGCCTTATCAGAAATTCTCTAATTAATCCAAGCGCTTTTTTTCCAACGATAAACTTAAAGCTTCGTACATTGCATTTAAAACTTTTTTGAGGATCCATATCGTGAAATTTTTGACTTTTTCAGAAATACCTTTAAACTCTAGTTTTCGTCAGATAAGCATGTACTTATCTCTACGGGGGCTATCCCAGGCCCGAGGCGCTTTTGGATAGCCACAGTTAAGTTACGCTCCAATGTAGGGGGACCACTGTTTTTCCAACATCAAGGGGGTAAATAATATCACGTAGATATACAAAAAAGCTCATTACTGTGCAGCACAACGCTCGATACTCCAAAACACCATGAAATTTCAACAGCACACAGTAAAATAACAATTCCTAGCCACTTGGAGTCTCGCGTTCGCAAGTAAAATATTTGAGAAGCACAATCAAAGTAGTGACGGCTCGTCGGAGACTCCCTATTATTAAGCATCACGATGTAAGCTTAAAACAGAAACAAAAAGGGGCGATAAGAGAAAGGGGCGCGAGAAAGACCCTATTTCCTACCCGATGCGAGCATTACGAGGGATTACACCTCTAAGCCGTGGCAGCCCGACGTCACAATCTTAAAAAATATTCGGTCCCAACTCCCCAAACAATACGCACACTCGTACCTACATTTGAAAATCTTGTCTCCCTCCTCTTCTCCCGAGCTTTTGCTTCCTTCCTCTCGATGATCGCCCTCGTCATCGTCGAAGCTCCATCGTCATACCCGCGTACGCGTGCAAATACCCCACGCGCGTAGGACGAAGCGGTCCAGCGCGGCAGAGGGCGGGAGATTACGGATACTCAGCCAAAGTTGAAGCCACACGAGCGAAAGGACCGAAAACCAGAGGAACCGAGGGCGGAGAAAGGAAGGAGGTAACGAGAAGGAACGGCCCTGCATATCCAATATAACGAAGGGAATTCCAAAGCTGGAGGAGTAGGGGGGAACGGTCGGGTGCTCCGTGGCTGGCAAATGCTCTCGAGCAGCAGAGATCCCCGGGCGATCGGCAAGATTTTCGAATCGATCAATTAAGCTACGTGTGGGAACCGTCCGTCCTTACTGCCATCCGCCGGTGATCCGTCGCCGTGTTCCTCCCACCTCGACTCCATCCTCCGATCGGCACCAAAAGGCCTCAGATCTCGATCTCCCTCCGCAAACCTGTAATCCTCCGGGCACCGGCTCTACCCCTCCCCTCGTCTCCCTTTCACATGCACACGCATGTACATACACCTACTTGCACGTACCAGTGGAGGCTCAACTTACGCACCCCCTTGGAGGCCCATCTCTATACACATATACGGGTAAAAAATTAAAACTCCTCCCTCTGTCTTTCTCTTGCTTTTTCGGTAAAATGCCCAAGGACTCCCGCGCACCATCAGCCCCACGAGTTGCACACTTTCAACACAATGAACCAAAGATACAATAGACAAAAACGTATACTGACGTAGCATAGTACCGAGCACTTTCCCGTCCATTTTCTAATTGGACGGTCTTTACGTACAGCTCCGGTTCGAGGAAACGTTTGAGTTATGCATTTCACCCAACGGCGAAAGGACGACTTTGCTTTCGGAGCCTTTTGGCTATACTCTTTTCCCCCGGAGCTCCTTATGGAGACACACTCGAGTTGAGTAGCTTTTATAAAGTATACCATCTTAAGGAATGATTTTTCCCAAATTATTTCAACGTCCAGCTGATCAAAGGTTCTCCTCTCGGGGACCGCAACCAAAGACAATGGAGAGGGAGAAATAAAAATTCTCGCGGGTCTATCGAGCTACAAAAAAAAAAAAAAAAAAAAAAAAATTCCCTTTTCGTAAGTACAGCTTCGCGGTTCATCGGGCCCACGTTTAACGCCCCGTGTCCGAGTTGCATGGGTAAACTCTCCGAAGAAAACACTCGCGGCTCGTTAATCGCGGTGGCGATGATAAAAGTGAGAGGCCCAAAGCAGCGTGGGGGAGAGGCGGGCGCGGGGTCACTCGAGGGCTCCGTTAGACGGGCGTGCGCCGGATAATAATTGCTGGGCAGCGCGTAAGTACACCAACGAGGAAGTTCAGGAGGGGTTCCCATGCGAGCGCGGAGATAAGCCGTTTCTCGTCTGTTTTATGGCATCTGCGGAGGAGGACAAAGGTATATGGATGGAGAGCTCGATTTATGGGCTTATTATAGTATTCCAGGGCGACCATTTTTACTAATGCATTACGCATTGTCTTTTCTTCTGTGCGTGTGCGCATAGGTCATACGTGTATACGCGTCTGCTGTGCTTGATCGACATTTTTTTCGTGGTCGATGGGCCTGGATGGACTGTAATATGTACCTATTATCAACGGGAACGAGCAACCTTTTGTTTACGGGCAGAAGCTTTTTTTTCTGTCATCGTCGTGCTGTGCATGCAAAGTTTCAAGGATTTGTATAATTTAGTGTAAAAAAGTTGACGTTGGTTTTTTTTTGCGTGACGTTCGAGAAATTTCTGAAAATCATTTATTTGCGAGGAAAACGATTTCTTGTGCAAACTTAACGGTGGGCTTATTATAACGATACTATTTTTACCTTCCACTTGAACAAATATAGTAAAACTAATTTGGAGTACTGCACTGTTGGTATGATCAGATAAATTAAAATTATACAGTTCAACGACAATTATCAATAACAAATCAAATGTACGATTTTTTTTAGGATGGTAAAAAATTTTATTTGTGATGGTTTTTTTACAAAATTGGGTAACATAGAAAAGTTTACATTACACAACTGTTACAATAACAAAAAAAAGTTACAAAAAAATTATCAATACCTTACTTTTTGGCTCAGTGGTGAATATTTTTGTTTGGTTAAACTAGAGTGCCCGTGTTTTGCTAGACTTAAAAAAACTAATCACTGTTATTTTTTGTGTTAGGGCCCATTCCTTGTTTTATCATTACTTCTGTTCATGTTTTGGATCTCAGAAAGGACCTAACGTAACAACCTAGGATGTCCTACATTGATATTTGCTAGTGGTAGGTATATCGTGCATCAGTACTACGTAAATACGAATTTGGTAAAATTAGATAAAAACTGCAAATAACTACGCATCTTCATAATTTGGTGTTATAACTCGTCCTTCCAATAATACGGATTGTGACGACAAAATAGCAAAGTAGAATGGCTTGTTGATATTAATGTAATTACTTGATCCAATGCTATTGGGAGCTGCAAATAAAACGTAGTTTTTATTGAATCTACCATCAAGTGGTACATAGCAAGAACGTAACTCAGCTCTGAGTTAAATAATGAAATAATTTGTCTCTGTGAGAGTTATTTCTTTGTATTCACCCCTTAACGTTTAAGAATCCCAATTTTTCTCACAGAGCCTAGTTATCCCGGGTTTTAAAGCAAGAACTAAATTAACTGTTTGTTCCTCTATTAAGGCGACGAAGTAATGTTTTGACACTTACTTGCAATGAAATACATATCGTCATTAGCCACTTCGTCAACCTGAAGAAAGATTTTTTGAATGACTTTGTCCACATGCAAATTATCACTTGAACTTTCTCCGATACTTTTAAAATTAGCTTGTCTATTGTCAAACATATGCGTTGCACCCATCTAGAGTATAGTTGAAGTTAGAAAACTTCATCACAAGTGTCATTTTATTAGATCAGAGTAAAAGATGCCATCATACCTTTTTTAAAACAGGCACGAGATCAATGGTACTTTTTATGGTAAATTTTGGCATATTCAGTATTACTGTAGATCTTTTTCCGTCGATGGTCCGATAATCAAAGTTCTTCAAATTCCGGCCAAGCGCTTCAAATTTAATTTTGTTGGTTTTTTCATCCAAAGGCATGATAATGACCATTTTAAACTCGAAATCCTGAGTTTATAAAACAACATTGCAATATTCGTTACTTGACAGTAAAAAATATGTATTTGTTCGAAAAGCCATTACTCACCCTGTACGGAAGCTCAACATACTGTGCATTAAGGGCTTCGATTATTCCGTTTTTCACAAAAATTCGAGGGATGTACATCATATGCACTTTTACCTTCCTGTTTCCAAATTGGTGGAAAAATTGTCTTCTTGTAGATTTAGGATTGAATGGGTACTTCCAATCGCCACGGAAGTAAATAGCGTTTAAAACGACTAGGCTAGTGTTTTGCGTTATGTCGCCTGTACAGAAATATATTGCACTTGTTGGACTTGACACTTTGGACTTTACTGTTTGAATGTAGGTGTAAGTTACTATTTGTTAAAAATTACCTTCATTGAGAATTCCATCGACTTTTTCGTCTGTCGTCTCACTGATCCATTGATTTGCTTCAGTAACGGTTTCCGACTGATTACCTTTCATCGAAGTAACTTCAGTTAAAAAGTAAACTCGTGCATTTTCTCGAAATTTTTTTTTTATTTCAAACTTTTTAGGTACGTAAACCATGCTGGCCAATTTGAGGGTCATGTCCTGCACGTACTGTATGGAGTATTAAAACAAATTTTTAATATAATTTAGCCTTTCTGAATGTAATTACGTGGGATTAAGTACGTATAATCTTAGCTTGCCTCAATACCGTCATTCCACAAGTGATATTGCAATTTTACGCGGTGAATATTCGTTCTCAGAGAAAGTGCTTCGCGTAGTTGAATTGAAGTATTTCGTCGTGCTCCAAGAACGACCGATGCTAAGATTTGACGAGCAGCCATGGGTGAACACACCACGTTTTTTTCATTTTGATGTTCAATAACAAGCTAAAAAGCAGATCAAAAACGTTTCAGTTATACATTTCTTCACAGAATAATTACCTTGCCGTAATGTGATCTTACAGGGGTAAAATTTCTCGCAAAATTAAAACCAGTCGTGACCAACTTGTTCCCCACCCTCTCGTTTGTTAAAACATTTTTCATTTCTGTACATTTCGTATTTGCCACTATGATTGATATAAGCAATGATAATAATAGAGATTCTGTAAAAAGTTTATAAAAATCAATAAACGTAAGCAACAAATTAAAAAACAGCCTTTTTCATTTTTTACAGTATACTAAAATAATGTGGAATAGTTAAATCCTTAATTTATTCATTTACTTACTGCAACACATCATTGTTGTATCGTTTACGCTTTCCTTCGTTTTAAAAGACCACACTGCCACTAAAAAATCGAAAATGTTACGTATGCTTAAATAGAGAAAACTCGGGAGCATTATGATAAAGGATAGTTGAAACATACAATGCTTGGAACCTACGACAATCGGTGAACCGATAAGTCGTGCATTTATCAATTTTTAACGTGATATTTAATGTACTTAGTAAGCGTTTACAGTACGGTAGCTTCCGTAAATCGGCTTTGTCTCAGCGCCCCGACGATTATCATACATGCATAAGTAGCTGATACAAACTATATAACAAATATTTACGAAACCATGTACATGTAAATAAAATAGAATTCCATAATTCCATGTAATAGATTGATAACTAGCTATTTGTAGAGATGACTTGAAGAACCTAGCACCAATCAGAATTTAATGCATTGTTTTTTTTACCTCTAATTCTGTATTTTCTCACCAGATTGCAAATTTATTTTCTTCATTTTTTCAGCCAGGTACGATAGAAAGTTTGATTCCCGTCTGAAGACGCGTATTTACTTAAGTTGAATGTTATTTGAATAAAATATACTTATAAACTTATTAAATATTGTCCAGGCTTGGGACAAGCCAGTAAAAACAGCTTTTAACAAAACTTCTTGAGCAAAATAATAATCTACAGTTAATAAAAAAGGTTTTTTTAAGAAACCATACAAATCAAATTTCTGAGCAGTTTAAACATAAAGATTGGCTCATTGGCTTTATCGTCGTCACGATTTTCCTGGTCTATTATTACGTTATGACATTCAAACAAATTGTTGAGCAGCAGCACTTTACTATATAACATTATTTATTAATAAAAGTAGAGGTTATTGACACGGGTTATTCACCGCAGTGAAAAGACGTTAGGTGGAAAATATACTATCATTTGTTTCAAACATGTTAACTAAGCTTTCAATGAATAATAGCTATCGTTATGTCAAGAACCGATACTGTAATTTTACTATGAAAAAGACGCCGTCTTGATGTACTGCAATCAAGTACGAACGTAATAGTTTTTGATAATGTTCTTAAAATTTATTATTTTATTAGTATAGAAAATGAAATATGATGAATGAGTATACAAAGTGTGTGAAAAAAAATTAACTTATATTTGTTGTAAAAATACTGTGTATAAAAGACGATTTATTTTTTATATAAGGATGTTATAAGGAGCTTCTTTAAGCCTCAATTTCAGCTTTGTAGACTTGCACATGTTTTTATGATGTTCCTATAAATTAAGACTTCATCAACAAGTTTGACTTGCAAGCTTTCAAAGAATACTTATCGAATTAAATGTAAATAGTAGAAAATGGGGATATCTGGCTTTCTATAGTTTTTGTCAAATATTGTTTATTCATTTAGGTTTTATAAAACAATAGACGATCCTAAAATTGAAATCTTTATATAGACGAAACTGCATGTGTTACGAATTTTCGAAAATTAAAAAATTTTCATCACTGTGTCATACACTTACCATTCACAATGTGTTAAAAAATCTTGGAACAAAATATGAAATAGAAAAACTTTGCATCACAGTGTAAAACTTTAAAAAAAAATTTTTTCTCAAATTTTTTCTGCTCACAATTTTCATCTATAGTTTTTTAGGTGTATTTTGTAAATCTTCATACATAACGCCGTGATATAATAATGTTATTTTAGATTTTTTAAAATTCGTGAGACATTTTTACTGATTAAAAATTTGATAACGATTTTTTTCGAAAAAAGTTACATAATTCAGAAATTTTTTACAATAACTGTGTAACATACTGATAATATAGTCACATATATGTCTGATTAATCAGGTATTCTGCAAGTAATGTACTTTCAACCCTCGATGTGGTGAAATATACCATTATACTGAAATCACGGGGAAAAACCAAAAAAGTTTTGATAATTAGACAATCTTAAAAAAAGGGATTTAGTTGAATTTCATCATACTGAATTAAAATTTTTTATTATTTTAATTGTTTTTCTAGCTTTTGATCAAGAATTAGAAATGGTACATTTTCACTTCTTTATGATGGCTTTGTTAATTATCACATCTGCATAATATCACTGATGTCTTCAGTATTAAATATATTTTCACGGAAAAAATATTCCTTGAAAACTAGGGTAGTCTAGGATAGTTTTTAGCATAACTGTTTAAACTGACAAGTATTCAAGTGATGATTCTGTCAATGTTGGACGTCGGAAGTAAAATCATTGAAGGTGATTGGATGATGAAATGTATAACACTTTTATATTTCATTCAAAGTAGCCTAATGTAGATTTAATCGATCTTGTTGATCGATCCGTCACGTGAAACTTAGCAATAGTTTGTATAACCAGATAAGTACGATAACCAGATAAGACTGATGTACCAACAATTATTTTGTCAGTGAAAATATGGGCCAATGAATAATTTAGCAATCACTGAAATAGTGCCTATCAAAATTTCACTCAATTAATTATTTTGTTTCTGATTTTTCTGGCTATAAATTATTTAAAATTCAAGTGAGCATTGGGATATTAATGTAATTAATAATGTAATGCTATTCGAAATTTTTTAGCATGATGGGTGTTTTTATCTTAATAACGAATTCTATAAAATGATATTTTTAAGCTTACCAAATCCTTCTAATCGTATATTTAATTGACAGTTTCATATGTAAAGGCAAACAATTAAAAAATTAGTTTCTTTAGATTATCTTTTAAAATCTACACTTTTCTTTTCTGTGAATAAACCAATACTCGGAAAAAAATAGAACTGTGAATCTCAAAATACCTACTGAATCTACAAATCAAGTATATTTTCTGATTCCATTAAAAATATCAAGTATACAATTTGAGAAATATTTTTTAAGTTCATGGATTATTTATTACAGACCTCAGAAATAAAATACTACATTAATTCAATATTTAATATTATTTCTATTTGAAATTTTTTTTTTTCTAAATGTACAGGTGCGTTTAACAGAGGGAGACAGAGGATAAATATTCTACAATCCCATAAATAAATAAAAATTTCTTAAGTGACACAAGCATTAATATTTTATTTATTACTGTGCTAGCTTATAAATCAAAGAACTTTTTAACGACTTATAATTATTAAAAAAAAACTATCTATGTATTTCCAATGTTGCAAAAACAAATTCTAAGCGTCATGGTTTTTAACAAATTAAGGGTATTTATATACGTTATTTATTACTTTGTCTACAAACTTTGACCTCTGCCACCTGGATTGAAAAATTCCTAATATAGCTTATAACTACTCGTAATTGTAGGTATAAAATATATTCCTTGCTTCCATACCGGAATCGACACACTTGTTTGTGATATATGGACGCGTTAAGGATACTTGTTGCTTCTATTGGTAAGTAAAAAACCAGTCAACTATCTGCATACTTGGACTGGATCTGAAAGTACATGGATTGCAGATATTTTTATCCTCAGTGCAAAAAAAAAATAATACGTAGTGTAACATATCGTTGTTGATTCTTACTAGAGTATAAACGCAATTTTTCAAGCGAGGGTTTTGATTATGATTTCGAGATTTTTCGTTTCGTTTATATATGCATATATATCAATATTATTTCTTTGCTAAGTACATGTACGACATAAGAAAAATTGTGTTTTCATACATAATTTACTCTACAAAAGACGTGAAAAAAGGTTTTGTGTAAAATGTTTAGTATTTTCTACATGAATATTATTTATAATGTAGACCTTTTTAACCCATATAGTATAGCAAAAAACTGCCTCTTGTTTTTACTGCATAACTATCCATGGCGAAAAAATCCGATCTATCGGTAACGATATTGCACACAGTTAAGAATTAAACAAAAAGTATATAGGTACTCAGATTGATTAGTACTCAAAAAAAATGTTTATTTACTAGGAAATTTCTTACCAAGGTAACTTATATCGATATTCCAAACAAGTCCTTCCTAAGTGTAGCATCATCATACGTCGGCCAGACACAATCAGCATCTTCATATTTTGGTCTAATAACACGTCCCTCAAACAATACGCGTTGTGATGACAAAATGCTAAAGTAAAATGGTTTGTTAATAGTTATAGACTTGAGCGAGAAAATGTTGTCGAGTGCTGAAAATATAACGTAATTTTCATCAAACTTTTCATCAATTTGTATATTTTGTTATACATTTATTTATAAAGCGCAATTACGTTTCTTGTCCTTTACGTATTCATTACATGATTCGTCAACCTGAAGAAAGATTTTTTGAATGACTTTGTCCACATGCAAATTATCACTTGAACTTTCTCCGATACTTTTAAAATTAGCTTGTCTATTGTCAAACATATGCGTTGCACCCATCTAGAGTATAGTTGAAGTTAGAAAACTTCATCTCAAGTGTCATTTTATTAGATCAGAGTAAAAGATGCCATCATACCTTTTTTAAAACAGGCACGAGATCAATGGTACTTTTTATGGTAAATTTTGGAATTTTCAGTTTTACCATGGACTGCGTTACGTTAAGCGTTCCATAATCCAAGTTTTGTAAATTCCGACCAAGCGCTTCAAATTTAACTTTGTTGGTTTTTTTCCCCAATGGCACCATAATAACCAATTTATAGTCCGAATTCTAGGTTGACGAAAATTTTTTTGGTATTGGTTACTCGGTACCAAACAATAATATTAGCTAAGAAAGCTGTTACTCACCCTGTACGGAAGCTCAACATACTGTGCATTAAGGGCTTCGATTATTCCGTTTTTCACAAAAATTCGAGGGATGTACATCATATGCACTTTTACCTTCCTGTTTCCAAATTGGTGGAAAAATTGTCTTCTTGTAGATTTAGGATTGAATGGGTACTTCCAATCGCCACGGAAGTAAATAACGTTTAAAACGACTAGGCTAGTGCTTTGTGTTATGTCACCTGTGCAACAGAATATTACAATTTGACTTGATGATCGTAAATTTTCACTGCTATAAAATATTTGATTCATTTTTTATTTTGATGAGTATTACAAGCGTATGGAATATCAAAAATCTACTGTGATTAATGTTTGAAACTAGACGTGAGTTACTATTTCTCTAAAATTACCTTCATTGAAAATTCGATCAATTTTCTTGACTGTTTTCTCACTGATCCATTCGTTTGTTTTGGCGACAAACTCTGACAGATTACTTTTCATTGGAGCTACTTCAGTTGAAAAGTAAAATTTAGCATCTTTCCTAAACTTCTCTTTTATTTTGAACTTCTTGGGTACGTAAACTTTGCTGGCCAATTTGAGGGTCACGTTTTTGGTAGACTGAACAGTTAAAATCGAAATAATTTTCTATGAAAATTCTTGTATTAATTATATACGTAAAAATTTAGCTTACCTGAACTTCATAATTCCATAATAGGTATGTCCATTTAACTTGATAAATCTTAGTTTTCAGAGAAAGGGTTTTACGCAGCTGACGCTTTAAATTCTTGTCTCGTGAACCAATGATGATCGAAGGTAAGATTGTGTAACCAGCACCCACGGGTGAACAGACCACGTTTTCATTATTCTCATTTTTAATCACAAACTGAAAATAAAATGAAAAAAAAAAAAAAAAAAAAAAAAAAAAAAAAAAAAAAAATTCCCTTTTCGTAAGTACAGCTTCGCGGTTCATCGGGCCCACGTTTAACGCCCCGNATGACATCTTAAGGAATGATTTTTCCCAAATTATTTCAACGTCCAGCTGATCAAAGGTTCTCCTCTCGGGGACCGCAACCAAAGACAATGGAGAGGGAGAAATAAAAATTCTCGCGGGTCTATCGAGCTACAAAAAAAAAAAAAAAAAAAAAAAAAAAAAGAAAAAAACTTAATTATTTAGTCTTTGATAAGTGATTATCTACAACTATTACGTGATCTTACGTGAGAGAAATTTCTTGCAAAATTGAAACCAGACGTCATTAATTCCTTCATCACGGCCTCATCTGTCAATATGGTTTCCTCGCTTGTACTTGTCGCATCTGTAACTGCCCGTAATATCAGGAGCACCGATAATAATTCTGGAAGGATATTTGGTAAAATTAAAAAAAATGTAGGTGTATAATAAATTGAAAAATAAAATTTTTTTGGTGTAAAAAAAATCTGGATAATGCAATCGTCAAATTTTTTAATCACTTACTGCTACACATCGTTGCCTTGTTCGCGTGACTGAATGTGCGATAAAAAAATTGGATGTAACTTGTACTTAAATAGGGGCAACCAGTGAAAAGTGTGTTACAGAGGACAGTTGCGACAGCACTGATTTCTAGGAAGCTACGACAGGTATAGTAAACCGAATGAAGCACGTGTCGCCACTTAGTTAACGATTGATGTCGATTCAAAGAAATCATCTAAATACTATTTTGTCACAACCTTCCTCCAAATATCCGGCTGTTTGATTGCAAAACTGAATGATAAATGATATGATGAAATCAATCATTTGCTTTTTAATAATAGCCGGTCAATATTACACTCGATTACAGTCACGGATGAAAAAATGATTATTTGATGTTTGATTCACCTTATTCTTAAAAGAATTTACTCAATTTATTCTGTAAGAGCATTACCAAAATATGTCTGTGAGCTCGTAGCAGCAGCTTAAATTTTAAGTATTTAATATGCAGATCCTTGGTGGCCTCAACGTAGCAGGTGAGGCTAAGCAGATATTAAAGCTTAATCGCAAAAATAAAAATCAAATTTTGTAAAATTAATATGAGAAAATTTTTGACAGGGTCACAAAAAGTTTTGACAAAGGTCTGGTAGTTGTTATAGTAAGATCTTTCTTGCATCTATTTCCATTGCACCATAAATATTAAGCATATTAGAAGATGTAACTTTTTCGTCAGCTAAAATAAAGATACGCTCTTTCTGAGATAGTAGAAGATAGGTAAATGTTTGTGTGTTCGTCAATATTGAATTCTTTAAACTAAATTAAAATAAAAATTTCATTGCCTGACTTGCCCACTGATAGTAGTTATGCCCTCATCGCTCTATAATTATAATTTTTCGTCAGTCTCTAAATAAAGTTTAAACTATTTTTAAGATAATGATGTTTTTCATTACGAATCATGATTTAAGAATTTCCAAGTCAGCAGATAACATGGTAGGTAATCCGTACATTAAATAAGAAGTATTTTTAAAAATTACACCCGCACATTGGTATATTACAAGACAATTCTAGCTCAAATGGTTAATTTTTTTTCCCTAAAAAATTTACTTTCTTCAGGTAGAATCTCAAATTATCAACCAACTACTGGAATTAAAATTTTTGAAATACAACATTCCGAATAACAAATTTCAAAGTTTCGAAGTTCATAAAGATATTTGTAAATCAAAAATAACTTTATAACTTTAGAAAAATGTAATCAATTATTAATTGTCATAGTTGCACTAAACGGTAAGCGAGTATCACATGAATTTCATTTATTTGTACGAACTAATGGAATATATTTCAAGTTTTTAAACAATTCATCAGTTTGTAAGAGTTTAAAAAAAATGCAAAAAAATTCCTCATGTTAACGAACGTTGCTTTCTTGCCTTGTCTCTGTCATTTAGATAACCATAATCTTCTTATATTCACTTCCTCTGTTATGCACTGTACATTTAAATTGCTTTGGATATAGGGCTATTGAGCGTGAGCTTAAGTTTATGTGGCAACAAAGTGTCATTTGGATCCCTAAACTAAGAATATATTTATGTAATCATTTGTTTTAGAAATATTCACATTTATGTGTTTTATCACTGACTCAAATAATTGTTTTCTTGAGACTTTGTTTATTCGTGTGATGAATATTTAAATTTACACGAGATTTTTTTACGCAGTGATTTAAAACTGTTTCACCTGAGTAAACCCGTGAAAATTATCATCGTGCAATCAAGCTTTATAATGGTTATTTTACAGATTCCAATGTCGAGGGCGAAAATAAAAATGAGAGTGTAGTTTTTAAATTTTTTTCCTTTTTTTATAAATTAATGTTGTAGACAAGACTAATAATACTTGAATCTTTGATAGTAGAACTATATTTCTCTATGATTATTTCTCAACGTTTTTAACTCAAGCCCTAGACATTGACTCCCAGAAAAAATGATTAATATTGCTAAATACTTTAAAAGTACTTTTGAAAAAATAATATTAAAACTATTGATGTACGTAGAATGAAGAAATCATAATAAAAATAAAAAATTTACATATTACAGACCTTGTAACATTGAAACAATAAAATTTTAGTAATTTTATTCAGAATACAGCTTCGATCTTTACAATGGAGGTGTTCATATTCGTTTAATCATAACCAAGACTACTAAATTCCTTGATTTTTTGTGTACCGTTTCTTTCAGAAACTCCGTTCTTTTGATTACTCCTTATCGTATATGATTCAAGTAAAAACATTTCGTACATTCTCGAACGAAACAAAAAAGCTTTCAATCCAAGTTTTTGCGCATACTTTTTTTTAGCAATTAACCCTATTCATTGATTTTACCCAATTTTTTAAACAAACATCAGCTGTACAGTTTTTAATCTCAACGGTCGAGTCAATATTTGAATATATGTGATATATCTTTGTCTATAATTCGTTGAAAAAACTAATCAATTAACCGAAACGCCCTAGCATCAATAGAAATAATTACGTTTGAAATTGAAAAAAAAACAGAAAAAAAAAATTTACATGAATCCGAATGATCTTCCGTCGATTCGACCGTATAGTTGAGAAATGGCCGTTCATATTTTACACACAAATTCTCGGCCGCTCTACAAATCACCCGTGTCAAAATGATTGTGCCCTACCATCGATCAATCATTAATCACGCATCTAAAATATAGCAAACGACATTTTGCTGCTCATAATGAGTTTCGAAATGGCACGTAACGATGCGTAATCGCTTGTCCTGCGAACCGATCCCCAACGATCGGCAACGAGAAAGCTATACTTGCTACAAGAATCCACACATGTCACACAAATTCTTTGAATCGGAAGTTCCTGCCCAATACTCGAATGTCTTTACTTTCTCTCTACGGCGATTACCATCCAACTAAAACTGAATTACCTTTTATTCCTCGAACGCAAAATAACCAAGTGCAGATCCCAAAAACGCCGATGAGTCCAAAAGAAGGCCTCGTCGCGTCCAAAAAAGCAACCATGGCACACACACCGTCAGTAAAAGGGGAAAAAAACGATACCCAAGGATGTGTCCACCGCACAGGCACAACCAAGAGATTACCGGGTCGGGCCCGGCCAAAGTCCCTCTCACACACGCACGTATCGGGGCCGAAAAATCGGCAGATCGGCCGTCAAAGCACATTTTCGGGCCCGCTCGAGCGGTATAATACAACAATAAAACGATGATGACGCCGGTGCGGCAGAGTCCCTGGCGCGCCGGTGGTGGTCAGTGCGCGTTACATATATACATTCCCCTGTCCTTCCACCCCCTCGAAGCGACATACCGGGCCGCTCTCTCCGTGTGCGCGCGCGTCTTTTTCTTCTTTACGTTTTGCACGGGGTCCCTCCTCTCGAGAGGGGGCCCGCTCATAGAGAAGTCTTTTTCGTCGTCCTTGTGTGGTCCGCTTGAGCGCGAAGCTAGTATCTTGTCATGGATACTAGCACCGGGACGTATAGGCGAGGCCCCTCTTTTCGTCGTCGGGCGAATCGAGTGGGCTGGTAGTGTATACTTACAATCGAGCAGTTGTCTCTGGCCGTGCCTCGGAATTTAAGAGCGTCCCGTTTCGCGATCTTGCTTTTCGCGAGTAGGTGTACACAAGTATGTATATATACGTGTACGTTCGCCGAACGAGGGACTCGCTTGTTGCAAGCTCGCGGACAACGGGAAAGAATGCGCGGAAAATTTTTAAATACAAGAGGGATCTCGTGTAAGCTCCGTTTTTTTTTTGCTTTGTTTTTTTTTTTGTGCACTGTACGCGTATCTCTCGCCCCCTGGGACCGGCAAAAAAGAAAGTGTGCGTGTATCGGGCCGGCGAAACGATGTATCCGCGGCTGACCTCTTCCCCCCGGTGTATGCCCTCGTGTAAGGTGACTTGACTTTTGGGATGCGAGTCGCGTGTGTTTCGTAAATGTTACAACGACTGGGGCTGTTTCTACCGTCTCATTTGTTTATTCCCGTACTTTGGCAAAAGTTTTAGTATTTTTGAAAAACGCGTGTTCCTACTTTTGGCTCAATACATTGTGCTCGGAGCTGATGTAAGGATGATGACCTGAAACATGTGTATTTCTCGTCACACAAAAATGACAAAGAGGGCGATCTTCGTCGTGATGGCAATTAACGCTCCTCTAACCGTAAGGCTCACCCCGATACAAACCACTCGGTCAATCATCTCCAAGTATCACGTCACGGTAAACTCAATCAAGCGCACCAACAAAGAACCAACCATCCACCCTCCCAATTTTTTAAGAAGAAAAAAACGGAGGGGAAAACCCGTAGGCTGCGGCTTGAAATTTATTACGGGCACTTGACGCGCAATCTAGGCATAATGCAATATTAGGTGTAAAGAGCCGCATTAGAGTGCACCGAGCGAGAATCCAAGGGGAGAATCCCTCTCACGCCCGAGCACCTGATATGTATATAAAGACCCGAGAGTACACAAGCGCGCTCGAGGAGTAGTAAAAAAAAAAAAAAAAAAAAAAAAAGGAAGGAGAGCAGCCGCAAGAAAAAGGG